ATCAGTTATGACACCAGCTTTATGCAGGACATCTTTAGATCCACCAATCACATTTAACTATATAAGAAGGCCATCATATGACGGAACATGCATCCCGAGGTAAAGGGTTGAAGCTTTCAAGCAAAAAGACAGTTTTCCGCAGGCCACCTCTATCTTTGTGCATAACTGTACGTCTTAATCTTTTGACGAACAAAATAAAGGCCTTCTCGCACTAACCTGTAGGAAATTCAGTTATACAAAATTTTGTGGTGTTATTAAACTTTGATAGGCAAGACGTCGTCCCCAAAGCATAAAAAACGCAAGATTGAAACCATGTCGGTCCAGTCTGACGATGAACTCATGTATGAGGATTCTTGTCCAGACTCGGGTAAGCCAACTTACTTAATAAAAGATTAGCGGTAGAGTTTGAACATTTGTTTTTGATCTTGAAACGTTTGTACAGTCTACCTTGCTACACATTGGATCAGTCTTAATACACGAGGTTCAATTAATGATTATTTATTATAATCACACTTACAAAATTTAACCTTTCCAACATAAAGACGAAGACGGTGAATTAGACTTTGACAACGACGAGGAGGAAGTTATTGCTGAAGAAGACGACGCTGATTTCAATTTTACGGACGTGGTTGCCGAAAAAGATCGTAAAAAAAGTTACGAAGTGGAATTCAAAGTTCACTCTGTTCAAGGTATTGTCAAGAACCAAGACGAAGAAGTTACTCATGTGTCTAATATTCTTGGTATCCAAAAGCAACATGCTGCGACATTACTTCGTCATTTTTGTTGGAATAAAGAAAGACTTATCGAGAGATATATGGATGATCCAAAAGATGTCCTGCATAAAGCTGGTGTCATAACTGATGATTCTATGATTCCAAAGTTCGTAAAGGTTCCAGGTTTTGTATGTGAGATTTGCTGCGATGATGAAGATATAGAAACTTTGGCTCTGTCATGTGGTCATCGATTTTGTCGAAGTTGTTACGAACATTACTTGACACAAAAGATCAAGGAGGAAGGTGAAAGTCGTAGGATATCGTGTATGGCCAATGGTTGTAATGTTATCGTGGATGAAAAAACGGTGGAATTAGCAGTTAACAATGACATACACGAAAGGTGAAAATTATAAATAATTTAATTTATATTTTTTTTTAATTTTTTAAAAATTTATTAATTTATTATAAGTATTCATTTAATTAAAATTTTAGATATCGTACACTACTAAATCGAACATACGTAGATGATAACGAATCTTTAAGATGGTGCCCTGCTCCTAGCTGTGAATATGCGATCGAATGCCATGTACCACAAGCTTCTCTCACAAGTATTGTACCAACAGTCGAATGTTCATGTAGTCACCGATTCTGCTTCGGTTGCAGTTTACCTGATCATCAACCATCGATTTGTACGCTTGTTAAAAGATGGATCAAAAAATGTGAGGATGACTCAGAAACAGCTAATTGGATCTCTGCACATACAAAAGAATGTGGGAAATGTCATTCTACCATTGAAAAAAATGGTGGATGTAACCATATGACCTGTCGCAAATGTAAGTACGAATTTTGCTGGGTCTGTATGGGACCATGGTCAGAACATGGTACCAGTTGGTATAATTGTAATCGTTATGATGAAAGAAGTAGTCAGGATGCTAGAGATCAGCAAGCAAAATCTCGTGCATCCTTGGAACGATATCTTCACGTATGTTATTATAAATCAAATACATAATAAAAAATGATTTACAAATTTTTATTGTACTAATATTTAATTATCAATTCACGATTTTTATTATTTTAGTATTATAATAGATTTGCAAACCATGAACAATCCGCAAAGCTTGATCGTGAACTTTATAATAAGACTGAAAAGAAGATGGAAGAAATGCAACAAACATCTGATTTATCTTGGATTGAAGTTCAATTCCTTAGAAAAGCTGTTGATACTCTTGTGCAATGTCGTATGACACTTAAATGGACATACGCATTTGCATTTTATCTCGCTCGTAACAATCATACAGAAATGTTTGAGGACAATCAACGTGACCTTGAAATGGCCGTTGAACAACTTTCAGAATTATTGGAAAAACCCATTGAACCAGAGAAAATTAGTGAATTGAAAGAACAAGTCTTGAATAAAACTGTTTATGTTTTGAATCGTAGAGAGGTATTATTAGATGATACCGCTAAAGGATTGCTTGAAGAACGATGGGAATATCAGGTAGATATCACGAGCTAAATAAACCCAGCAGTATCTGTACGAGAATAATCTATGTTTATTCTTTTCACTACATCGTGTGATGCGTGTAGGATAGGAAAAACAAGTATATGGAACATAATTTTTTTTTTTTTTATTTTCATTAATTAAAAATAAAAAGTTAAGGCTAGCATGGGGATGGATCAAATCAAAATTATTGGACAGTTATAATATACCAATTAGTTGCTATGAAATTATGCGCCAATCTATTATATTTCACTTTACACCTGTGTTATTTGTCACTTAGTTTATAATATATTTTTTTTATTATATATTGAGATTTGGATTTGTAGATGCCCAAAAATAGTTCACGCAGTGTCGTTCATGTACAGTGTAAACTTTCAACTCAGCATTATATCGTTGCTTCAATTCTTTGTATCTATCTTGTTTTAATATTATTTTAAATATTACTTTTTTTTGTTTTTATTCGATTTGCAACCTTTTCTCTTTTTTTTATATAAAAACTTTTTTTTTTTATTTCTTTGATTGATACAAACAAAATCTGTCTATATATATATATATATATATAAAAGGTATTTATTTACAGTGTTAAAATTTTTAGTGTAACAGGGCACTTTCATCATTGTTAAAAACGACGAACTCATGATTCAAAATAGAGAAATTTGATTTAAAATAGAGTAATGGAATAAATTTTTTTGGACGTACACACTGCCGTAACATATTTTTGAAATTTTATCAAGGAGAAATCATAAGAAAAAAAAAAAAAAAAAAAAAAAAAAAAAGATGTACAAGCAATCGTTAAATTTCACATAATGCACAATTCAAGCTCAATTACATATTTTTTTGAGAATTCCAAAAGAAGTTTTTACACATCTAGATATATTGTATGTGAATTATGATACATTAGTTATTAAAACATCCCAACTTTGGATCCTTCATTTCTGATCCACTACCACGCTTTTAAGTTGACTATTATAGGGAGATGAATTTTCATGATCATTATCATCTTCTAGGTATTGACGGGACAACGCCGCAAGATGTTTCAAATTATCCCACACATTAGGATACACAACCGAATCCCATTTATCCTTAAGTTCATCAAAGATTTCACTAAACTTTGAACCCCTTTTCACGGTAATACGGAAATATGGATCAGAATTTTCATCGTCTTTGGGATTTGCGGGACGAAACTCAAGGCGTACTGGTTCTTCATCTGGATTAGGATGGTATGTTGGAATGATGTAATCAAGAAGAGAACTGTGTTTGGCGTAACCAAATTCATTGAATGTTGGTAAGAGATCGATAACTATGTCCGGGACACGAACGTGTGGCGCTTCTGTCACATCGTCAAACAGGGTCACTTCAAGTTTAATGTGAGAATAAGTGCGAAGCCATTCAAGAATTTCTTACAAAAAAAAAAAAAAAAAAACAATAAAAATTTAAGATCCATGTTATTCATCAAATTTTGAGACAATAAAAATAAGAAATTCTACCTGGTTTGGTTCCAAGAATTATAAATCTGGAGGAGTTTACAACGGACAAACTGATCACCTCCGGTAATTTTGTAGGGGTGATAATTTTTCCGGCAGTCATAGACAAATTACCGACCTGTTCACCTAAAAAAAAAAAAAAAAATAGAATAATAAATAATCAGTAAATACTTTTTTCAGAAAAGTCATTATTCGTGATTCTATAATACATTACCGATAGCATAGCCATATTTGAGAACCATTTTGAAGCAAGTTAGAGAGTACCTTTGATGAACACAATTGAATTTATATAGCTTAAGATTAAGCGATTTTTCACCTGATATGACTGAATCTGTAACAGGTTACGCCTATGATGTCAATTATTTAAATGACCAGATTCTTCCAGTTTTTTTTTTCTGAAACATTTTGACCAATCAAATGCATACATTTTCACGTGAGTTTCGTATAATTAATTCGCCGTCGCATTCTCCTCTTACAAGAACACAATGCGCTGACTATTTTTTGTAAACCATTATTTGAGTGCCGCCAAGGAAAAACCTGCAAATCTTATTAAGGTTTGTGGGTTTCCCTTGGCGGCACTCATATTAAAATCGTTGGATTCACGTGACTGACATTTAAATTACCCATATAAATAATTTTTTCTAAATCGTGTAACTGTAAATTACATTTTTATTTGCTTATATTTTTATCCGGCAGGGTTAGTGTCATCACGATCCTTAGACTGTACTGTACAATTTATGCACTGTCATGGATCGTGTACCATACAAAAATTAATTAAGATAAACCCCGTAATTTCCCTTTTGGGCTTGCAATCTCCCGGTAGGACTCGAAACCCCAACCATTTGTTTGGTGGTTGGAGCCCTAACATCTCTGCTATTTACGAGTAGCCTACTCTCCTTATTGTTCAATATTATTTGAATTGAATTTTTATAAATTAACCAATTTATTATCAGTTATAATAAAAAATTCCTGTGAATTCAATAGCTAGTGTATAATCAATCACCAAATACTAAATACCAACACTTAATAATACATATTTTTAATCCAAAATTCTCTTCACTTATAAACCAATAATTACGACATGACACGGACAAAATTTATAAGTAAGAAATCATCTTAGGTAGGTAGCTTTCCTACAAAAAATTGTTTACCCTTCTGCATTTCAATTCAAACTGTTGCTTTTTTGTTGTAATTATATATAATAAACATGTTTTGAAATAAGATGTATTTATTTTTTTTCTTTCTTTTTTGGTCTTGAACGTCCGACAACATGAAAGTAAGCTATGAAACGCTCAGAGATACTCTTAATGCTATAATAATACAAAATGAGATGTTGTTTAATTTTACATTTAGCAATCTAAAATTAAAATTTAACTTATTTCAAATAAATTAAAATATCTATTAGGGGATTTCAAAATTAAAATCAGCGAATCTTATTTATTTATAATTCAACATAGTAAAAATGCTATTGAAAAAAATCCTACTTATTTTCGAAATAGTCACTTATTTGCTAATTTTGAAACCCCCTATTAAAAGGATTTTTCTAACGAAATAGTAAATAAAATCTGGTTTATTAAATTAAGTGTAAAAACTATTATTTGCATTCTGTTTAAATAAAAGATCTGTTTATTTTAAATTCTTAAAATATTTTTTGATTTATTCTCGATGGATATTCATCAATTTAGATCAAATGCATGAAGAAAATATACATCATTATGAGTGCTACTGGATAGAATCTATATTATTTTACCGACAATCACTTTATAGGCAACTTAATTCATAGATAATTAATTCACTGACAAGATTATCTTACAGGTGATTAATTCACAGACAATAGACAGTTTATTTCATCGAAGCTCATTTCACAAACAAATTTTTTTTATAAATCACACTAATATTAGCTCTATTTTAAATCTAACTCTACGGCAATGATTAGAATTACTTTGTTTGAAATGAGCTATTGATGAAATAGACTCAATTAAAATGAGCTTGATAGGCGAATTTGACAAAATAATATTCACAAAAAAACTAAATACTCGTGAACTACCAATCAAAATTACATAATTTTGGTACTATTCGATTCGTTTTATTGAGACGAATTGAATAGTACCAATTTTTTTATTATTTTTTTTTTATCAAATTCGTCCCTTTTCTTAGCACTGAGCCCTAATGATTCTTTCCATAAATTAATCGTATTGGAATAATCTTGACTGTAAATTAATTGTCTGTGAATTAAGTTATCTGCGAAATGATTGTCTACAAAATGAGTGATACCACTAGAATGTTGAAAGGCTGGAAAGAAGACCTAACTTTTAACCAAATTTATTGGTTTACCTGACTTTGCTTTTGAGGTATTAATATGTAAGTGTTTATATGATATGATACCTAAAACTTTTTCTTTAGTTTTCAAAACTCAATAGATTTGAAAGCTAAATGAATTTGTTATAGGTTACTATATACACGGTTTTATTTATGTGTTTAGTAATAAATACTATACGATTTTTATTTATTACATAATTTAAAGAATGCAAGCGATCAAAGAATAACGATTTTAAAGATATGTGTACAATTCAAACATAACGAATGAATCTGCAGTAAGTATTTTGCTCTAACTAATGGAAACAATGTATAGGTTGATTGGCAGTAATGTAGTTAAGTAAGTTACATATCTACAAGTTCTGATTTGCTAAAAACTAAACAGCTCTGATCGTTTATATTAACTATTTTTTTGGTTGAATACTTATGAAAATGACTATAAATAACATGTTATTTTAAAATAATATTATTATTTATTATAAAAAAATTTATACAAAATCATGACAAAATGATAAGTCATAAAAAATATTTTATAAATAACATTAAAATGCCAAATAAATGACAATATATAATATTAATACTCTTGTGTAAAGAATAATTCTTAAATAATTCTTAAACTGTTTACCATATATTGCCAAAAATAAGCTACCATATATTGCTAAAAATAAGCTACTATTTTTAGCCAAAATGCTACATGAAAATTTTGCATATAGCTTATTTTAGGATAAAAGCAATTTTTGCTCAATTGCAAAAGTTTATTAAGTAAATTGATCATGTGTATTAAATAAAGTTTGTCCAGAAGATAGAAATACACATATTTTGAAAATTTTATATAAATCAGATGATTTTTTATTATTCATTTAATAAATTTATATACATTAGCAAATTTTAAAAATTGCAATATTGTGAAAGATTTGTGATTGATGTAAAATATTGCATAAGAATTTAAAAATTTACTCTGATCTCCAAAACTTACTAAATAGTTGTACTAATTGAAGTTGTTCAAAAAGTTATTCTGGTCATAATAGTGGTTAAATTATTAAAATTGGTTAGATATTCGTCAATATAGCACAATGAAAGTTTTCAAAATATTTCAATATTGTGAAATATTTAAAGTATTTCAAAAAACTTTTGATTAAGCTATCTTAGTGAATATCAAACCAATTTTGATGCTTTAACCACCATTATGACTGAAATAACTTTCTGAACAACTTCAATTTAGCACAACTATATGCAATTACTTAGTAAGTTTTGAAAATTGAAGCAAAGTTTTAAATTCTTAAGCAATATTTTGTATTAATCACAAATATTGCAGTTTTTAAAATTTGCTGATGTATAGTATTTAAATTTATTATAACATCTTTAGTATAGTACTGGACAGCAAAAAATATCAACTTTTTATATATAAATATAAAAATGCTTATAATTTATTAACAAATGAATTTAAAAAAAATCTGTTTTACTGATTTGTTGTTTTTAGTCTAAGCTACAATTTTGTTAAAATAGATTTTTATTTTTATTATAAATTTAAAAAGTTATTAAAGCCTAAAGTTACTATGTAATAAAAATTTGGTGTTTAATATATAAAAAATTGTTTTTATAAATTTTCAACCAATCAGAATCTTGTTACATAAAAAATAGCCAATCAGATTTGAGTATAAATCTCAAAATTTGGCGCTTTTAAAAAAAATTAGATGTTTCTTCTGTCTGGTACTGTAGAACATGCTAACCACCATTTTACCAACAATTTACATTTAGCCAGCACTAAACTATAAGTCAGGCAAATCTTAACTTAAATCAATCAACTTTGTTTGCAAAACAGTTGTTAGCAAAATTTTTACATATCTCTTTAGTACATTATATAACAATCATTGAATTATTGCAGTATGAAATAATAAATAGAACACTCCAACTTCAATAACTTCTCTTTAATTGATTTAATAATCTAAATACCAATATACAAATGAGTAATAAATTTGTTAATTATAATAAATCAAATATACTAGAAAACAGGCACTGTTGTAAGTCCGAAGCGACTAAAAAAAAATTGTCTAATCATTTATATGATTGGTCACTTTGGCGGACAGACGGACAAAATTTGCTTAGAGCTAGTATGTGCAGATCATCAAGATTGTCAAGTGATTGGTCACGTGGGCGGACAGACGGACAAAATTCTGCTCATGCCACTAGTATATGCAAATCATCAGCCAATCATAATTTAGTCACGTGCCGGACAGACCGATATTTTTTAAGTTTTACTTGTACATGTAAGTCCTCGCTACGCTTCGGACAATTACTTACCATCGGGGATTTCAATATCATCAATGCATTTACTTCCTAAAATATATACATCTAAATATACTACACACGTAAAACTACAATTTAATCCAATTTAAGAAAATATTACCTGCATTTACTATATTGACAGATTCGGAGATTTTTATAATTAATATCATTAACTTTTAAAAAATATAATAAATAAATGTTATTACCTGGTTTAGGGAGTTTTGAAAGATTCAATAATCGACTTGTATAAATAG